ATATATATATATATATATATATATATATATATATATATATATAAAGAAAAGCTTATTTGGAGTGTGCAAAAGGACATGTGGAAGACACAACAAAGATATGGTAAGGTTCTTTGGTCTAATGAGACCAAAACTGAATACTTTTGGTCTTGTTGCAGAATGCAATGTGTGGTGGAAAGCCAACAGTGCTCAAATACAGAGCAATTCAAGGGGAAAACCTGGGAGCTGTACCCAGGCAGAGGTTCACCTTCCAGCAGGACAATGACCCTAAATACGCAGCCAAAGTAACAATTGGCATGGTCTAAAACCAAGAACCTGAATGTCTTAGTATGGCTCATTCAAAGCTAAGATGTCAGTCCAACTGCGAATCGGTGGCAAGACTGTTTACTAACGGCCCCCATCCAACCAGACAAAGCCAGGAAGAATGGGCAAACACTGCAGGATCCAGATGCACAAAGCTAATCTAGACTTACCCAGGGGGACTTGCAGCTATAATTGCTGCCAAAGATGCTTCTACCAAGTACTGACTCAAGGGGTAAATACAAGTGACAGTTTGTTTTTGCTTACTTAACTTTTGTGTTAGAATAAAAATATTTGGCACTTTCAGTGTTGAGTATCTTGTAAATATCCAGTAGAAACAATACCAATTAAATTAAATTCATTTCAATTTCAAGTTATTGTACAATATAATGTGAAAAAGTCAAGGAGGAATGCTTCTGCAAGGCAATGCAGTTCCGTATTACTGGCACATGAGATGAGAATCATGTATTTCCATTTTTAAATGTGGTCTGTAATTCTGAATCAGGAACAGTGGTGACTATTAATTATAGTTCTTTGAAACAAGCCAAATTCAGACCATGGCTGATGATCCTGGCATGCTTCAAGCAACTATAGTTAACACTAACCACAGTTTGTCCACTTCTGATATATTTTAAAGACAGATAGATATGAGCTGAAAAAAGGAACTGATACTTAAATTCTCTTCCATACAACACTGCTGGAAAGAAGAAGAAAGGAGAAGAAAGAATCCAAACCCAACATTTATGCACAAATACTAGGGAATGGATTAGCTTTGTGTACATACAGTGATTCCTGCTTAGGAGATGTAGATGTTTTATATATGTGTGTGCACATTTAAGTTTTCATCAGTGGTGGCTTTGTACATGGTGGAATACTCAATTTTTACTGACTCCCCCAGCTGCTGCATCCCTTTGTTCCTCCCGGAAACCTGCTACTTAGAGCAGTATGCAATATGGCATAGAAGGTGGTTCTACAAAAAGAGGTGTCCTGTTTTGCATGAGAAAAAGTAGCACAAAACCACAATTAGGATACGTTTTCATGCAAGCAATATCCTTTAGGCATCTTTTCCCCCCATTCCATTATTTCTCCACTGATTTTAAGGATCACAATGGTGGAAAGAACGACAGGACAAATTCTCTGGCCTGTTGTCAAGGGGCATATCCAGCAGTTTTTTCTCTGCTTCTCTGATCAAATCCACCCTGTCTAGATTACAATGTGCCATAGGCAGAGAACAGATGAACTGCTCAAAGTTTAGAAAAGACCAGACAATCTGACCTTTCTTCAAGTCCTTTAAGCATACATGTCACAATCTGCGGTCCAATTCATACAGTTTAAAAGCAGCTGAGTGCAAAGTAATCTCAGAAATGATGGCAACTCACAAAATGCCATCTTTTCTATAATGTCTCTGATTAAATAGGACTCCATTGTACCTCTTTCCCTCACACTATTCAAAACATAGCAGAAACAAAGGAACATTCTTTTTCTTTCGCTGTAGTAGTGATAAGGTGACTCCTTGCTCATTGAAAAACAAAATGTATTCTACAGTCCATTATTTAATTCATCTGAACTGCTACATGAGGTGTCTGTATTCAGTTTTGCAACATTACTAGATAACAATTCTTAAGAACTGCCAAGTATTCTCCAACCCACAAAATATGATTCCTCTCTAAAACAACATACAGTACATACATTATGAAATATACAGTCCCAGATCTCAGAAATCTCTGCAGTTTTGGTGAACAGCAGCAAGGGTGAAAACACCAAAGTGAAAAATGCAACACCCAACCTGCAACATGTTGCTGTGTCCAGCAATGCAGAGTCCCAGCAATGCAGTTATCCCTGTCCTTGTGAGGAAGACGCATTCCCACTCCATTCCTATGCCTTTGGTACCAGCTGTTCTGAAAGGCAGCAGCTCAAAGGAAGGCACCCGGAAATGGACTCTTTTGCCACTCTCTCTCTCTTTCTCAATGATCCACTTACTACATTCCAATGATTGCTTTCAATTTGCACTGGAAATTTAATCTCAATTCCTCAACTTTGCAGCATCAACAGTTTCCGCTCAGATATTAAACAATTTACCACCATCCTGAAACTAGTGCTTTATTTTAGCTTTAGTTTTTAGACTCAGAATTCAGAATGGATTTCAGGAAACTATGCCAGGCCCAGAAACGATGCAACTGGAATCCCTTTGATCAAGTGACCAGAAGAACTTTGCTCTGAATTTGCACTTAAGAGCAGGGTGCCCCTGAGCTTATCCAGAGAGCTCTGATTTCACCATTCAGTCATTAAAGGCTTCTTCATCTTCTTACAAGACTCTCACAGATCGTACACAAAATGGCCTGCTGGCTTGTTTTCTTAAAGGAAGGGTAATAGGTTTTTTAACTCTTTATCTACTTTCTGTTACCTGTCTGCGCAAAGGAATGCGCTTAGTTAGCTTGTGCACGGCAGGTTGGCTGCTGAAGTCCGGCTTCTTGGTGGTGGATCTCATGCGGCACAGGATCACTGTCATCACCATGCAGACAATTAGGAAGACCCCTACACAGTAAATAGCAATCTCCAGGTAGTCTGGGGATGTTGGATACGGTCTGTCTTCTATGGGAGCTAGAGGGCAAGTGACAGTCATGGAAAAAAATTAGAATGCGTTAAAAAATAAAGAGACAAGCACAGATCTATTTCACAGTGTGTCATACATAGGGATACCGCATCAGGCTCTGGACAAACTATGCAAGATACAGAATGCTGACAATTTCCACAGTGGAAAAATGTTACACTGAGGGTCCTTTTCAAGACAACTCAGTGCAACTCCCCCCACCCCTGCCAACCGCGGAGCTGGCCTGAGCTGCTTTCACCCCACCAAGAGAGCCTTTTGAGGTAACTTCTGGACAAAATCACTGTGGTGTTATTTGCTAATCCTATTTAACTTTTAAAATTAAAGGCTGCATGTTGAAATTATTCTTGTGATCACCTTTTCATTCTCTCTCCCTCCACACACACACACACACACACACACACACGTATTCTTTTTAGCCAAGTTTCTTGAGACTGGAAAATGGCCACATAATTCATTCCAGATGAATCAATATTTGTCCCAATCTCCCAATCTTTAGCCTGAAGCAAATGACAGGTTTAGTAAAACAATTTTTCAAGAGCATTGTATTTAGCTCTATGGGCCACCTGAACACACAATGAAAGCCAAACAAGTCCGGAATTAGCTAGCTGAAAAGCAGGGCTTATGGGACATCAAAGCACAATAAAGCTTAGGCATGAACTAGCCTGGTTTAGGCATCCATGTGCCAGTTGAGTCAGTCAAAAACACACCTTTATGACAAGAATTTTCATTTAAGCAAGACTCCATAAAAGTGGCAAGGTGCATTAGATACTAAACAAGACTTTCCTATACATAATTACTTAGTTGTAAGTCCATGAACATGGTGGGGTTTACATCTAAGTAAGCACAGGACTAAACTCAGTAGGAACTGAGTGCCCAATTAAGCTCTCAATCCTTTGGAAACTAAACTAACCCAGAACTCCTTTAATTTCTGGGCTATTAGGAAAAATAAGCCTGATTTTTGCTTACAGTCTCCATGCACATAGAGGCCCAGGAATGAAACTGTGAACTGTATCTGGAAATGGCCTCTCCCCTGACGTTTCTGCAGGTTTCACAGATTCCTTTAGAACTTCAAGGTGAAAGGGGAGGTTCTGGCAAAAACATCTGGATTACCCTCCGGTAATCTAGGAAAGTCTGTACAGAACGTTTCTGAGGAGTTTGCCCAACAAAACTTATTTTGTTTTCTTTCCACACTCTCTGTTTTTGCATGAGAAAAAGCCTCCAATTTTATCTCAAAATTTGTTTTAAGCTAATTTGCAGCAAGCTGAGTTAGCACAATACTTTCACAAGCCTAAAATTCCCAAGGATCATATTGAAGGAGCAAAGGTAATTACACAGCAAGCTTGCATATTCATCCACAGTTCAAAGAAAACTGATGGATTTGTCAATGTGCTTCTTTTATAGTAACCACTAACTACTCAAAGTCACAAGAATATGGACATTACTTTTTTCTCTTTCAGCAGGAGAAATCAGTTTGGTGTTCGTTAAATGATACATCTCCTGTTTGACAATTCCGTGATCTTTGACATGGGGTGCACAGCACCATAAAAGAGCACATATTTAAAATGCAGTATATTTTCACAGTACCATGGTCTCAACTTGCCCTCATAGTATCAGTATTGGGACTGTTCTGTGGCAGGAGAAGGAAGTTATGAGAATGCATCCTGACATGGCCTAGGGGAATACTTTGAAGTTGGTTTCCAAAAATTAACTTTCACATACACGGGCAGGTAGGCACTTAGTTAACCCTATCAGTGGACAATCAGACTCACATCTGATCCTGAACAGTACCGAGTGTCATGACTGGAACTGTACAATGGCAGAGCTAGCTTACACGTTCTCTCTGCCAATGCTTATTCTTTACATAATGACAGTGATTAGGTTTTTTCAGTTAATTGGTATTAATTTTTATAATGGTTTAAAAGCACTGACTTACATCGATGTAATGAGAGTTTGGTTTAGTCTGTCCTGGTCTACTTTCTTTCTCTTCTAGTAAGTGAGATAGATTAGTTTCTGCAATCTGACCCATGCCTTTTAGCTCAACACCTCAGCAGCAACCACAATACTCAGCGGCAGCATTCTGCATCAATAGGTGGCCACAATGCAAGCAGTGCATTCGTCTCATCTTGTGTTAATATTAATAAAAGCAAACTGATTAAGAAACTATGCTTAAACACTTGCAAATGTGGAAAGCAGCCTGCAAGCAGAAGCAGCATCAACTTTCCTTGCTAACTACCTGTTTAGCGATGAATGTGCTTTGGAAGCCTCAAAAGTTAATAGTTAAGGAGGGTAGTAAAGTGGGTTGTCTCTTACAGAAAGTGAGAAGAAATAACCTAGAAGCCTAGAACCCTTAAGAACAATTCATACCACAGCACAAACACACAATGAACAATATACTTTAGCAATGCACATGCAAGGAAACTTCACTTTAAAAATCATAGCACTCAATATACTGACCGGAAAGTTACTAGCTGTGCAAGTTTCTTCAAAATTAATACTAAAGCAGTTGCACTTTACTGAACGGTTATAAAGAAAGAGATTTCATTAGTGTATCTAAAAGTATTTTTCTGAGATATACCAGTTTTCAGAGACTGAAGTGCTAGATGTGTGTTTCTGCTTAAAACAGAAACAACATCAATTCAAGCATGACAAGGCATGCTTTGCAGAAAAAGCAAATTAGTAGCCATTTGCTTTGAACATGCAGTATTTAAAGAATACACCAGGTTGATTCCAAAGATATGTAAAAACACTGCTTCTGTATTCACATTTCAATGCAGCATATTCTCATAGATTCAAATATGAACCCAGGGTTGTCTGGGGGTGGGTTGGGGTTGGGGGCATTCTTTTTAGCTTTTGTTTGTCTTCTTGATAACATGCTACTTATAACTCCCAGCACAATTTACAATCCTGCCGGGAGAAGTTTACTACTGATAAATTTTGGTATGTCAGGTGTCTGAAGAAACCTTTTCTTTCAAATTGATAGTAAGCATTCAAACAATTGAAAAACTGGTTAAAAAGAAATTCGAAAGCATTTCAGTTTATCCTTTTAAGCTGAAGTGAAACATTTTGTAATTTGTTTGCTTTTCTGTTTTCCTTACAGGAAATGAAAAGCCCATTTCTGAGACAGAAGCTGTGCCAGTTTGGTAGCCATCAACAATGAAGCAAGGAGGGGAAGGAAACCACTGAAAGATAGCAGTATATACCTGGCAGAACCGTCAACCATGCAGAGTGAAAGGATATCCCAATAGAATTACCCGCCAAGCATGTATACTCCCCAGCATCCTCAAAAGTAACATTCCGTATATAGAGAACCTCAATTTCTTTGTCCGTAGTGTTAACACCGGCAGCCTAGAAAACAAAGGGGAAGCAAGAGAAAAGCTAGACATTTTAGGAATTCTTGTGGATGGGAAGTAGGACCACAGGAGCTCGGCACTGCAAAGAGACAATAGTGCACAGCCATGGGGAAATCCCATCCACAAAGCCCTCAACCAAAAGGCAATTACCAAGAAATCCCAGCTCACCTCAGAGAGAATTAATCATCAAAACCCTTCACCAAACCTACACTCACCACCTATTTATGCATGCAAACCACATGGAAAAATTCCTCCACAAAATGTTCAAGTGGAAAAGTGACATAAACACAGAAAGAAGGATCAAACGTGGATAAACATAAAAGACCATCTGAACATCGCTTAGCATGTCCTTCCATTAAGAAAGGGGAATATCAGAAACATACAATGAGGTTAAATGTAAGGGAATGTTTTACATTTCCTGGGCAGAGAGCTCTTGACCATTGTGGCCCATGCAGTGGTAATCTCAAAACTGGATAGCTACAGTGCACTTTACCTTGGGGTGCACCTAAAAGTGGTCCAGAAGCTGCAGTAAGTGCTGAGTGCCACAGCCAGGTTGGTAACAGGAGGGCTATTCACCAGGATATTGCATCTGTGCTGAGGAAACTGCACTGTCTGGCCAGGCTTAAACTTCTAGTATTGGCTTGGAAAGTCCTCAAAATCTGAGGAGCAGATTCCTTAAGAGACTGCTAGGCATCTCCACCTTCCTGTTCAGGTGTTACATTAATCAAGAGACACCCACCTGATGGTACTCAGGATTTTGGAAGTCCATCCCAAGATGTCTCAGAATAAGATCTTCACTGTCATAGCACCCTTTCTCTGAACTCCTTATCATTACAAACATTGCCAGGAAGGTAATCTCTACAGAAGACTATTATAAACTACTTCATTATGAGAAACTTGTAGTGAAGTGGTTGGAGGGTTGGCCTGGGAAGCAGGAGATATGAGTTCTAGTGCCCACTAAGCCACAAAGCTCACTGGGTGCCTTTAGACCAGTCATACTGACTTGCAGCCTAACTAACTCACAACCTTGTTGTGAGGATAAGGTTGAGATAGGGTGGATTGTGTAAGTTACCTTTAGTCCCTTGACAAAAAGGTAGGATAAAGGTAGGATTGTTTTGTACATTGCTTAGAAAATTCTTAGAAATGCAGGGAAGGGCTGTCTTGGTGGTTGCCCCAAGGCTCTGGAGCACCATGTCTGGAAAGGCATGATTGTCACCCTCCCTGTGATACATTCAGAGGCAGGCAAAAACTTTTCTGTTTCAGCAGGTCTGAAGTCTGAAAGTCTGAACCTGTGCAATAATGTTGGGCTAGTTCTAATGTTTACACTGTTTTATTGTTTTAATTTTGGTATTATACATTCTTGCTGATTTAATTATATTTTTAAATTTGTACATTTGTATTAATGTTTTAACTACTTAGGTTTTAAGCTGCCTTGGGAATAGACAGTATTGGGAATAGACAGAATATAAATATGATGATGAAGGTGGTTATGATGATGACAACCAAGTCTAATAAATAAAAGCAGATCATAAATACTGTATGAACCCTAAATAAAGAGGGGGTTGTTCATTACAATAAGGATTAACAAAAAGTTTTTTTTAATTGTTCTTTAATCTAGTGACATATTATTCAATGGCTGAGCCTGAGGAGAAGACAAGCTACCACTGCCTCAAGTAGTCATGTGAATCTTGTGAATATAAGGCAGTACTGTAGAAATCCATCATGGAGTCAAATATAGGTCAAACTCAGGTAAGCAATTTGAAAACTAAAAGAGAAAGCAGGTCATCACTACCTAAAGTAGTCATGGGAATCCAATCTGAGGCAGATCGTCTGGTTTCGCAGATTTGTGTTACATCATAGTGACCAAAAACATTTTAAACATTTTCCCTCATCCAGAAAAATAATAATGGGGCAGTCGGTAAAACATGACTGTACAACAAAGAAAGACAAAGAGGCCCATTTAAAGCCCAAATAAGGAAGTGTAACAACAACAGCAACAACAAAGACTTGTATAGAATAGCCAGCATAGTAGGTTTAATGCTTTATTTTAATATGCTATAAAAAAGGGAATTTAGACATCTATATAAAAGAGGCCTCCTACCAAGGGACCAAAGAGGTGAGAACAAAATAATTTATCTTTTCAGGTATTCAAATGTCATATGTTTTGCTTTGCTTTTTAAAAAGGCCACTATTAAATGCTTTCACACAGTTAGCTTCTATCACAAGGACAAGAAGCAAGCAAAACCCAGTAACATGGGTATACAGCTGGGAATTAAGAATACTGGATTCTCTGTTGGCAGAAGTGGGGCAGGGGGCTCTATACTGATTCAGATTCATGCGGCCGCTATACTGGGAAAAAAGCCTGGTATGTATTGCACACCTCAGTATGGGCCCAAATAATAATTGTAATTTCCAGAGCATTGCCTAAACTATCATGTACATAGATTAAGAATAAGAGGACAAGTGAGTGAAAGTGAGGAAGATTCAGAATGGTCCGGTCAGAGTCCTTCAGATTATGCTGAAAACAAATCTATACAGATACAAATTATACCTCAGAATAAAACAGGGAACACAGAAGGATCACAAACAGATGACTAAAGGCACACACATGGTATTTGTGGGAATTTTTCCATGGCTACTGGAGTAACACCAGTTGCATCTCCAAGAGAGGATTATAAATACACCAAGGTCATGGAGTTATCCTACAAGCTGCCTGCAGAATCCCAAAGCACCAATTTTTTCCAGCTTCTACATCCAGCTTTCTTTAACAGACAGTTTTACCTTTATCTGGCAGAACCATAAGCCAGGCAGACTGGTTGGCCTCCCCTATATAATTGGAGACCTTACAAATATATTCTCCAGCATCCTCCTCTGTCACATTGTACAGTTTCAGCACTTCAGCATTGGAACTATTTATCCCCGAATGCTAGAACAGACCAATAACACAGGAGAACAATGTAACTGCTGCCCCAATTGTAGACACCAACATGGTCCCACCACCAAAACACTCGAAGTCTTCCATTTAGCATAAACACTAGTACTGAAATATTGTGCTCATTTTATTTTAAAATAACAAAGATTCCTTGCAAAATTGAAATGGGGAAGCTTCCAAACAGATGAAACTAAATGAACAGTTCAGGATGCCAACTCATTAGATGACTGGCTCCATCACTTAACTTCCCAAGAAAACAGTCCTTTAAAATGAGCTGCTCTTTTGTAACAAAACCAGGCATACTTTAAAATAGCTGCCAACTCAAAAATCATTGCCCTGTGGATATTTCACAATAGGTTGGTGAAAAATTGACATCTCAGTATCTTTGACATACAAAAAATTCAGCTCTGCACAGGACCTGCAGTGTTTTCCCAGCTTTTTAATATTAAAAATAGAGTATTGTCTTTATTTTGTGTACTCTGTGCCAGTGAATAAATCACAATGATGTCAAAAAAGTGGCATTGCAATCCACTTAAAACACAATCATGATGCCTGAAAAATTAGTCTGTGGACAGATAAAAGTTTCTGGAAAGCAAAACATGGAACAAACTTTTGCTTTTGTTTAGAGAATAAACTTTAGACTAATAACTTTTTATTCCAGAATATTTATGCACTGTCAATGATGAAAGCTTCTGGTCATTAAAGCAAATTCTATTCCAACTTTTTAATATTGTAAAAAGATTGTGGATTGTCAGAAAAAGAGAGAGAACTCACCTTTAGAACTTCTAGATATGGCAATCCATCTGGGCCAAATTTACTTCCATTCTTTTCTATGTGTTTTATCCACTGGATATGAGGCTGGGCATCACTGTAGACTTTGCAGACAAACTCTGCGTCACCTCCAACAATTGTGGAAGTATTTGCCGGTAGGCCAGCTTGTAGAATAGGCCTGTGTGGTGATCGTTCTGTGAGGAAGCAGAAATGGAGAGGGAGAAAATCAGGGAAGGGGGGGGGGAGAGAGAGAGATGTATAAAGATGAAGAATTAAGCAGTGCTGCCAAGAAAACTGCAAGTGAACATGAGCCAAAAAGCCCTGTAAGGCTGTTGGCTGACTTCACTGAAACAACCTTGTAACCAAAATATAGAACAAACCCAGCACTTCAAAGAAGGGGCTTTAATACTACAGTTGGAGTACTGTCTAAAGACTACCCTTTAAGGAGGAGAGGGGAAAGGATGCTCCAGTGGCTAAGGTTGTCTTGCATGGAGAGACGTTTAAGGCGCAATTCACAAAGCAACTTTTAACATAAACATTCACACAAATGAAGATTCTCCCATTTGAAAAAGCGTAATTGTACATCTAGTTAATATTAGTGCATATTGACTAAATTTGAAGTCAATATGCACATTGCTATTGACAATCCTTGGTAATATAGTAAACAGAGTAATTGTGTTATTCCACGAATACATATGCATCTTGAGAAACTGCCTGTATTCACATGTGGCACTACACCAAGACAGGGTCCGCCAGGGCCACCAGTGAGTGGGGAGTCCCCTGGCTGCCTCGAACAAGGCAGAGGTCAGGAGGCAGAGTAGGCTCTCTGGGTGGCATTCCCTGGCGATAAGGACCCACATCCTGCCTGTGCACTGTGGCAACACAGAGCAATTACCAAGCAGAAGTGCCACATCCCGCTGTCCCCACAGTTGCTGCTGCTGGAGGTGCTCCTGATGCCTGGCTGTCTCGTCTCATCATGGCCAGGCCTGTCCCTCTGCCTCATTCCGTGAGCCACACACACCGGCCCAGCCTCATGAGGCAAACCTGTACCTCATGAAAGAAGCCAGGCTTTCTTATAGGAAGACATCTGGGCAAGACAAAGGGTTGTATCCAATGGTGTTGTCCCCCTAGTGAAAGGAAAATGACTGGAAGAATGGATTTCCCTTCTGCCCCCTGCACCCCCCTCCCACAATCTGTTGTGGAGGGTTTGGAAACCCTGAAGAGCAGATCTCAGAGGACATGGGGCAGCTGCAAGGTGAGAGAAGAAGAGGTAAGTCCTATTACATGAGCCACTGCATGTACAGAATCCTGCTCAACTTTTGGGTCTGGCTCAGAAGAAGCTGAGTGGTGTTAATAGTTCACTTCTGGTAATCAATAACAAACTATTAAGTTTTTGTATCTTAGCAGAAACAAGTACTACTAAGAATGGAGGATCAGGTACAACATCATCTCATGCATGGGATCTGATGGTTAAAGGAATTGTCTACATATTTCAGGAAGCTGAGGAACCACTACAGATTTTTCCGCAATTAGATTTATAGGGTCTGATACAAAGAGTAAAATGGATGTGTAGTAGGGCTGCTAACAGCAAACACATTTTACTCTGGCTTAAAATTCACCAGAGTTGTGGGGATGCTTTCTGAAGACAAAGGAAAGAGAAGCCACTCTGCATGCTTAGGACTAACTGTGTAGCAGTCTGGGTCATGCCCATAAGCTTCAACTACTACTCCAAAAAGCAACGATGCCATGGTTACTCATTTGTTATATCATCAGGCCAGAACACATGGCTTTTCGAGGCATGTAACTCATGAGATCACTCTGTGGTTTGGGCCTTTGAAAAATTTAGTACATAGTATAAGAAGAACCAATTATTCAGTCACCTTATCCACCATCAAACCCTCTGGTCCTCTCCCAAGACAATTATTTTGGAGAATACCAAACTGATTCCTGGACTAAATCTGTACAGTATTAATTCATACTAAGTCCAGTCATCTGAAGGAATGTGTATTGCTTTATAACTGTATGTAGGTTTTCCTCCTTACAATGTTCCCAATAAATCATAAGGTTGCATCTTGTCTCACCTTTCATTATTCTTTGATAGAACATTTTACAATTATATTTTCCTTGATTAAAATAGAGAATTAGTTCCCTTATAAATAGCAGTTTCAAGATCATCATTACTCATTTATTAACTTGATATTTTCCCTTCCAGCTACCACTGTTTGCAATTCTAGCAACAGTTAGCAAATTAATTATTATTTCCCAATCTTAAAATACCTCATTCTTCACAAATCCAAAATGAGTGGATAAGTCACATTATATTCTGTGTTTTGAGATTCAATCTGAACATTCTTATTCATCAACTTATTTCACAACAATGTATTTACCTAGAAAATCTTTAAAACAGCACCCTTTTTAATACACTTCAGCCCACTTGTTGTGGAAATTCCCTTCTCCAGCAAAGTTCCCTTCTCCACACCAAAGTGTACCCATTCAGCAAGGTGTGCCCCACAACACTTTGGGCAGCATTTTCAGGAGCCAGTGGGGTGTAGCTGTGAGGAGCAGGAAAATTTGCTTCCACCAGCAAGTTGCATGTGCCTAAATCTGGATCCAATCCATTGGTTTTAAAACCCTGTGTAAATGTTTATATACATTACATCAGTATTGTAAATAGAACCACAAAGTTAAGAAAAAGAATACTGGTCTGCTGGGGACTGGTGGAGGAGAAATGGAAAGCTGCATTTCTAGGCTGGATGTGGAGCAGGGCACTTTTTAGAAGCCCACTTGGTTTCTGTGCAGGACTCCAACCCTCCTCCATCAGCCTGCTTATTCAACTGCATGCAGTTCTTTGTAGTTTTACAACTAGCAGGCTAGTGCCTAAATACAAGGCTAGAATATGCATACATGTGTATGCACACACACACACACACACTTATTGATCGGTTGTTTCTTTTGGGAAGCCACATCGAATACAACCTAGAAAGGAGGATGGAAAGAAAAACCTTTCTTTGGGGAACATTCAATTCTTGCCAACACGTTCTTCTGAAGAGGAAAAAGAAAATACAGATGTTCCCGTGCAAGAGCCTTATGCTGGAAGCAGTGATGTCTCTTAACAATTCAACTAAGAAGTCCAGCTCACTTCCCAGCCATTTAATATTGATCTTGTTTACAGAAGATCAAAGACCCCAACATAGCTGTTGTAAATATTTTTTTTGTAAGCCGTCCAGAGGCTGTGGTATTGGATGGCATACAATAAATAGATAAATAAATCAATAAATAAATAAATAAATCAACCCCAGGCTATACATCAGGAGATCCAATCGTTTAATTATACTGAGACTTAAGGAAACCTTCAAATTAATCCACATGCCATGTGTCATGCTGTATGATCCTGTCCACAGCTATTCAGAAGGAACCCCACTGACTTCAGAAAGGCTTCCTCCCAGGTAAGAACAGTCTTAAGCATAGTGGTTTCAGGAAAAAATGAAGAAAGTGGGATAAAAATAAAAAATGTATTATACTATTTTAAATATTCATACCTTTGCTTTCAAGACAATGCTCTCATACAACAGCTCCCAACAATAGACATAAAACAATAACCAACAAAATATAAAATACAGAGCAGAACTAAACGTCAGATAAAACTAGCAACATAAAGCCAACATAACAGAGATCAAAGCTGGAGAAGTTTACAAAAAAGATATATGAAAAAGTTAATCAAGCAAGACAGCATTAAGGAAGTAAATCTAAAGTATAATTCCCAAAACTCTGCTATGGAAATGTGCATACCTTGTTATTTTTTATTTCTAAAATGTATAAACCACCTTTCATCCACAAGGGATCCCAGGAAGGCAATCACAACAATAAACAAGCAAATCCAATATAACACCCATAAAATCACACATTAAAGTAAAACAGCAACATATCAACCCACAAGCAACAGAGTTTAAAATTAAACAAATTGTAAAATTTAAAAATATTAAGTGCTTTCAAGATATGTTTCAAAACAGGAACAGCACATAATTCCCACTGCCAAATTATGAATGAGTCTACGAGATACAACTCCACCATTTCTCCTACTTTTGCACATATGATTCACATCTAAAGCCACTCTGTATGTGGATCACCTTGTCAGATGTAGGAATGGTACAAATTAAAAATAAATGTAAAATGCAAATTGTGGTTTAATGTATAAGTTACTATTTTTATAGTCTGGAGAAAACTTATAAAATTCCCCGCCTTTTACTAAATAAGCCCTAATTCCATCTCCCCTACCCCTCATTGGGTACAAAAAACTAGCAAGCATGATCTCTCCTTAATGGAAACCTTACACCATCTTCCAAAACATATTACAATTGCCTTCAGTACAAAATGAAACCTTAGAGAATATTATTTAAAATGTTTTTAGAAAGTCAGTAGGCCTCATGTTTCATTTATCCACATCAGGGTTTGATTTCCTTTGCGACCTTACTCCTTGCCCTTTTTTTTTAAAGTACCTAACACCATAGGAAAAGATCACCACTATACTAACATTAACATACTGTGTGTGTTATTTCACTGAAAACTATTTTAACTTTCAGCCATGTATGCTAATTAATTTGAAACACAGCAGCTGAAATGATGTTGAAATCTTTGGGTTTAACATTTTATCAGGAACATGTAAGTATCTGAATGCTTATGCACTCAAAGAAGGCACCGATTCAAAGTAAAACCTGTTACCAAAGTTGTACATAGTTTAGAAAGGCATTACATAGAAGAAGCTGGCTTCTTCAGGTACTTCATCTAACAACAAATGTTGTCCCATGGATGCCCTTGGGCAGATTTCAGCTTGCTGGCCATAGCGATTCCATGAGTACAGACAGGAACACAGGATAGGCTGCCCATTGGCATGAAACCAAGCTGCACTCATTGCCACTTCCCTGAAACAACATAGTTGCATGTTTCGTCCATCTTCCTGCCAATAACATATACATACAGGCAACATCTCTGAAAAATGCATAAAGGATTTGTGAATTTTTCAGCTCCTCTTTGTATCAACAGCACACACATGCATCCCATCCTCATTTTGGAGAGGGATTAGAAAGACCCTCTGTGTGTACCAGTGTACACATGCAAAGTTCCTCCACATGAGCACTGGTCCAGGGTTCTCTGCATAATGATGACGTCTGTGTGCCTCTGCCATCATGTACCTAGC